CCAAACAGAACCATTGTCTCTTACTCTCATTACACCAGCCCATCAGTGTTCTCTCTGGCTGCTTCAGTGTTGGCTCTGCATCCTGTGGAGAGAGCGTCCATTTGGAGGTTTGTTCCTGAACCCTGCAGCACTCTGGTTTCCAGGCTTGCAGATGCAGCTGAGCTGGGCTCTGGTTTGGACAGATTGTAGCTGGGTTTCTAACAGGGGAAGCTCTGCCCCTCTGGAGACTAGAGATCAGAGCAGGTTCACCACTACTGAGCTCTACCCAGACCTGGAAGCCCTGGCTGAGAATGAAAATCCCTGGGGCCAATGTCTGCCATGTTCCAGTATGGGGTAGGATTGTGGAGACCCCAGGGGGATGGAAGGGCATGATTCTACCCTCAGCAGCCCCAGTGAGAAGACAGCCTCCCACCGTCTATCCACTTCCGCTGATGTGGGCAGGGCTTGTCTTCTCAAAGTGAGTTCTGAGATGGAGCCTGCCCTTTGCTAGGCCTTCTAAGTCTCACTTCTTGGATTGGTGGACACTTAAGAACATTTGCAAAGTAACATGGCAGAGCTGCCATAAGAGCTTGAGGCCCAAGGACCCGATGTCAATGAAGGGTCAGAGAGGCCAGGGTGGGCTTCCTGAGATGGGGACAGGCAATGCTTCAGCTGTGGATGAAGGAGAGCTCCCAGCCAGAGCTAGGAAGATATGTGGCAGGGGAACTGGTCTGAGAGATCTAAGCCTGTTCTGGTTGGCTGACCCCTTGGGAAATCCAGGGAATTTCCAAGCTGAGAGTGGGGGAAGGGGTTTGGTGGGGTGGTAGGATTATATTAAGAGTCCTGCTGGGTGAGGAGGGCTACTCCAGTGTTATTTTACTCCCTCCTGCTGTAGAAGGCATAATTGTGAAGGTGAAGGAAACAATGTCAGATTATGTGTGTATTTACTGGCTTAAAATGTCTGCTTAAATATGTTGTTGTTGTTATGTGCCATCGAGTTGGACCCGACTCATAGCGACCTCTCCTTGGGTTTCTGAGGCAGTATCACCATAGAAGTAGATTGCCCAACCTTCCTTCCGAGGAATGGCTGGTGGGTTTGAACCACCAGCCTTCTGGTTAGCAGTCAAGTGCCTTAGGCACTACGCCACCAGAGCTCCCTTGCATAAGTATACATGTAGCTATATGTAAGTGTGCAGTATCTATATTTGTGCTCACATGTGCCGCAGTGAGTGTGCTGTAAGTCTGTGCAGCTATGTATATGATTCTGAGCATACCCGTGTCCATTTGTTCATCCCTATGCTGTGTCTAATTGTGTGTGAGCATCTGCATCCTTGTGAGAACGCTTAGATCTGATACTGTGTGCACAGGTTTCATGCTTGTGTGGGTGTCTGTGAGCGACTGTGTGTATACCAGTGCTGGTGACTGTGTCCATCTGTCTGTATGTGTCTCACTGGGTATGACTCGGTATGTCTGAAGGGCTGTAAGTGCCGGTGAGTTACTTTGTACACAGGTATCTATGTCTGTGCATACCTATCTGTGGCTATGAGTTATTTTGTGTGTACCCAAAAATCCATGGCTCTACATATGTGTGACTATGAGTCTTCCCACCCTTAAGAGCAACCCATCTGAATCCTGTCACAATCTTTCCAATCAGACTGCTTCTCCCCCACCCCGCTTCAGGCCTGCCTCCTCACCCCTGTGGTTGGGGGCTCACCCTTTTGAGGCCCTCAGACTCCCTGCCCCTAGTAAAACCTCATGATTCTACTTACTGATCATGACTAATGGGGCTCAGACTGGGGTGGAGACTGCAGAGGACACCCTCTCCAGGCTGGCACCTCACCAGGAACTGCACTCATACCAGTCCTACCCCCACCTCACAGCACTGGGTATACTTGCCCTCTCCCACCTATGCTGCCACCGCTCCTCCTTCAGGAAGCAGCCTCCTTGAGACTTTGCAGAGACAAGGAAGTCATGGCCTGAGCCCCCACGGGGCCTACTCTGGAGCTGAAGACCCTAACCCCTAGAGCTGCCCTTGACCTGAGGCCTGGAAGCCTAGGTATGTGCATGCCAGAGAATGGGATGGACAGTCTTGATCCCACCTCCTCAATCTCCCTAGCAAGCTCCCCTCTTCCATCTCCTGGCAGGGCTCCATAGTTGCTTCCCTGGGCCCTCTGGTTGCCATGGTTGCTTGGGGGGGCGGTGCTGGCTCTGGCCAACAGGAGCTGGGAGAGAGGGAAACTCCCAGGGCCCTAGGGGAAAACAGTAGGAATTGGCTCAAAAATCCAGGTCTATCTGCTGAGCCTAAAATAACATTTGCCTAGGGAGGTCAGGACACTTATAGTAAATCATCTGGAAAGGGGCTTTGAGGGCAGCCTGTCCAGGTTCCCTCCAAAAGACAGGAGCCCTGGGCTTCTGATGCGCTCATTCATCCATGCAACACTCACTGTGCCTGACCCTGTGTTAGAAACTGGGGTCACAAAGCTGTATCAGGCCGACTCTGTCCTCAAGTTGCTTCCGGCCTCATTGATCTTCTCTAGCAAGTTCACTACCTCATAAGTTCTTAAGCTCCAGCTGTGCACAGATTTAGCTGGTTGGAGACACCCAAATCCTCGTCGCTGCCCTCCTGGAAGCTATGGTGAAAGGATATAGGTACCGAGGCAGGGAAGGTGCAGACCCCAGTCCCAGCGGAGGCCCATCCACCTGCTGCAGCGGAGTGTGTGTGCAGAAGGGCCAAACTGCTAGGCTGTCTGTACAAGCCTGACCTGGGCTGCCAGGGCCTTCCTTCAAAGGCTGGCCCAGTCCCTGCCGCTTTATTGCCCAGCTAATGACGGTGATTAGGCTGACAGGTGCCGCCTGCCCGCCTGTCTGCCCTGCTGCCTGCTGAGAAGGTGGTTTCCGAGAAGCTGGGTGAAGCCTGCCCCCTGAGCTCTCTCAGGGCACCCACTGCAGCCGACCCCTCCAACGTAGGGTGGGCTTGCATCTACCTCCTCCCTTGAGAAGGCAGGACCAACCCAGTCTTCATTTACTGGGGGGCTATTGTATGAACTCAGTCCACATCTGGCTCTTTCTAAGCAAGACAGAGGGCAGTGGGAAGGTGAGAAGGGGGCCAGAGACCAGTGTGTGGGGGTTGTGCACCTTGTGAAGCTCATCCACCTTTCCCCAGCCAACACTGGACTCTGGGTACCCATGCGGGATCTGCAAGGAGAAGTCAGCCTCAGAAGGGTCCTCCTTTCAGGTGGGGCTGGGGTTGCTCCTTAGAAACCCACTGCATTGTGAGAAAGACACTGGAGGAGCCTCACCATTCTGGGGCGAGCCCTCCCCATGGGGACTGTCTCCTGGGGCTTTGGTGGGGGGTCCCAGGTGTGGGTCTAGGTGGGGGCTGTGATTTGTGACTAAGCTTCATGAGTCAGGAATGCCAGCCTGGGGGGCTGGGGCCTGGATGGAGCCCCTTGCCTGACACCCCTCGCTCTCCTGGATGTCTGGCGTGTCCTGTCAGGATCCCCTGTCCCCTGGGGACAGCCATGTTCTCTTTTGCACAGCAACCCCCTCCCTTGGTGCCTTCTCCCCATCCCTATTCCAGCTCTGGGAGGGTTGAGTGAAGGCCCGGCCCAGGGAGGGGAGGGATCCAGAGTTAGGTCCTTTCTGGTTTTCTGTCTTCAGAGCTCAGCTTCTCTTTTCCTTTGGACATGAGGGTGATGGTAATTATTTCTTTTCTCCCACTGCAGCAGGAGGGAACTGGATGAGGCTCTTGGAAACTTCCATTGAGAGGAACTTAAGGCTTTCAAAAGGAAGCAGCTTGATCTTTAGTGCCACTGTCTACAGTGAGGAAGACGTAGGATAGACTCAAAGATGCACTTTGAAGAGATGTGGCGCTCCCAGAATGGATGATGGGTGTGGCATCATTCCCCCCCACCTCACCCCACCCCCCTTGCCAGATAGATGAAAAGTCTGATGTCCGTGGGGGCGTGGGTAGGGCAGGGGAGACTGCAGCATCTAGAGTGGTGTCTGGCCCTTGGCTCTACAGGCCATGCCAGTTTTGAGCCTGTTCCCTGCGACTCTCACCTGTATCCTTCTTTTTGCAGTCTGCCATTTTGGGTGGGGGTCCATCTTTCTGGGCACCCAGCATGGGTCAGCCTGCCTCCCCTGGTCTGGTGGGACCGGTTTTTCCAGCTGGAGGAAGGGTCGGTGAGGAATTGGCAGGGACAGAGGGTTTTATGTAAATGCCCAGGGAGTGCTCTGGGAACAGGAGGCTGGTTTTCCCAGAGGCACGCAGGGACTGGCAGTTCCCAATTAGACCGGCCGGGTGATGTCAGCTGCTTCCCTGGGTGGCTGCACCCACTCCAGTTGGCCTTGGCAGGGGTGCTCCATCATTACCTTCTCCCTTGGGCAGGAAGGGTGCCAGGGGGCTGGCATGCAGGGCAGAGGCCAGGCCCCTTCCCACTGTGCTCCCCAACCTGGGACTTGACCACATATGGACTAGCCTGGAGAAGGTTGTGACAAACCATCCCAGAGTCACTGAAAAATACTTTAATGTGGCTAATACCTGAATCATCCCCAAAACCATGAGAGGGTAGGGAGACCTCAGAACCTGGGCCAGTCCCAGAGGCCATTCCCAGGGCAACCGCTGGTAGGCTCTCCTCCCCAACCCACCCCAACCCTGAGTTTCAATAAATACAGTGCAAAGGGGTCTGGTCATCAAGTAGCGAAGATAAAAGTCATGGACGCCAGAGAGGGGGTGCTGCATTGTCTGTGAACTCACACACATGCATGAGCTGTGCACATGTACACTGTCAAGTGCACACATCTTGAATCGTGAGTATACAAATAACCCGCCTCTAAGACAAGCTCACATCACACACCACCCTCACATACATATATATACATAGATACACATACTTTCCTCAGACACACAGAATTGCACACACAATCTTCCTTACAGACACACATCCGACAATGTGGACCTTTCTCTCAGCCCTTGGCCTAGGACCTGGAGCTTGGGGTGTCCCCTCTTGGCTCAGAAGAGGGGAAATAAGAGTGAGTCTTTCTGGGTTTGGCTAGGCTGTACCTCAGTCTAGGGACTAGGGTTGTGGTGTTGTGAAGTTGGGGGCAACGTTGGACTGGCAGGAGGCTGTGGTGTTGTCGACGTGGGCCCAAGAGGGGAAGGTGTACAAGTTGAAGATGGGGAAGCTCCAGCTGTTGATGGCCAGTGTGATGACCAGCACCCCAATGATGTTGAGGAGGAATCCTGCTCGGGCCTGGTGTGAGGAGAGTCAGTTTGATTTTGTAGGTGCTGAGCTGAGAAGGCATTCACCTCCCAAATGTTCTGGGGAGCTCCAAGTCCTCCCACTAGCAAAATTCTCCCTGGGAAATCCTCCCTTGGAATTACTTCCATCACTAGGCCTTTGCTTGACTCCCGGTACCAACAGGAAAAAGGAAGGCTCTTTGTGAGTATAGCACCCTGGGCCTTGTCCTCCCTGAGCCTATCTCCCTGGCTGTAGGTACCATATTCCTCACATCCTTCCATCTGTCTCACCTGACTGGGGCAAGTAAGGGCCCCAAAGATGTCGCAATTGAGAGGTCATGTCCCAGTCTCCCCCCACCCACAGTATCCCCGATTCAGGGCCACCCTCAACTCTGAGAATCTCACTGGTTTGGGCCTGCTTTGTGGTCCGCCAAGCTGAAGAGACAGAGCAGGAAGGAGTGCTGAGACCTTCAGCCCTCCCTGCCACTCACCATATCCGACACTTTGAGGCCCCCGAAGGAGAAGACAATGGCATTGGGTGGGGTGGCCACTGGCAGCATGAAGGCCAGAGAGGAAGCCAAAGTGCAGGGCAGCATGACATAGAGTGGGTGGAGGCAGATGGCCCGAGCCTGCATGGGGAGATGTAGGGCTGAGCTGATCCTGTCTCCAACCCAGAGTGGGAGCTGTGCCCCCAATTCCCCTGTTTCCTGCTTGGAGGAACCCCTGCCCCCCAGACACACATACACACTCTGGTCATGATCCCATCACTTTTGCCAGAAGGCACTGTGTGACCTGGGAAGGGCCCCTTGACCTCTCTAGAGGGGATGAGTGTGCTGCCCTGCCCTGTGGGTGTGGTAAGGGGAGGGACCCATAAAACTGATCTCAAAGGGGCTCTGGGGGTGTCATCAAAGGCTGTGGAAATGCACCTGGGGAGGAAGGGGCTAGGGACGCTCTGGGGAGCAATTTCACCTTGTCACCCCAAGAATGACCAGAACAGAGGCTGGGCTGGGGAGTGGTTGAGGCCACCAGCGAGCCTCATCAGGATGCTCAAGGGGTGATGTCACCAGGGGTAGGGTGAGTCAGGGGGTAGTGTGCCTTGGGGCCCAGGGTAGCTCACAAGCCTAGGGAACAGTGGAAGCTCAAGGGTCATCTCCCAGAAAAGGAGGAGGTGCTCAGAACCCCTGGGTGGGTGTGGGCTGGAGGGCTGCCTGGAGGCAGTGTCTCTGCAGGACCAGCTCACCATGGAGGCCAGGATGGGCAGGAAGAGTGTGGTGGTGGCCACATTGCTGGTGCACTCAGTGAAGGTGGCAACCAGGAGGCAAATGATGAAGGCAATGGCAGGAGCAGGCACTTTCTCCAGTGGGGTCAGTTTGTCCCCGAGCCACTTTGACAGGCCTGAGAGCTGTGAACAGAGGAGGGTGGTATGTGAGAGGCTGAGTTACCTGGGGCCCCAGAGTCCTCTGCAGAGTCTAGGCAGCTCTGGGGGCAAGATAGGGCCCTTTTTTCGCTCTTGGAGAACAGTTGGGTGTGGGTAGAAAGATTGGATGAGAAATTCAGAGAGGGAGCCAAAGAGCCTTCTTGGGAAACCTGGGGCTTGGTGGGAGTAAAGATCTTTGACACCTCCTTCCCTGCCCCCCCCCCACTCACTCCCGCCCTCCTGACCTCTCTTGGGAAGTTCCTTGACAATCTTAGCCTGTTCTCTGCTCCCTCCAGCCCAGTGGCAAGGAGAGTGGAGGAGGACCCTGGTAGAGGCTAGAAAGAGACTGTCAGGAGGATGAGGCCATGCGTAGGATCAGAAGAACTTCGAGGCCTTCATAGCATACTGGCTTCTCATCCCGCCTTGCCCAGATCTGTAATGCCAGTGGGCTGGGGCTTGTACAATACTGCTTGCCCAGTACTTGGCACGGTTGAAGCTCAATGAGTGATTTGATGGGTGAACTAGTCACAGACCCAGGAGCCCCTTGCACCAAGTCTTAGCTCGAAGAAGTCTCCTTCTGTCTGCGGTGAATGAGCTCAGCTGGGACACTGAGGCCCAGGGGGAGCTTCAGGGATTTCCTTTTGGAAGAAAGCTCTGAGAAAAGATGGACAGATCTGGATGTGATCATGGCGCCCTCTAGTGGCTGAGGTAGGCAGACTGAATTGGTTGAACACTGTTGTTATGTGCTGTTGAGTTGACCGACCAACCGTGACTCATAGTGACCCATCCTTGGGTTCCCGAGGCAGTATCACTACAGAAGTAGGATTGCCCAACCTTTCTTCTGAGGAGAGGCTGGTGGGTTTGAACCGCCAGCCTTCTGGTTAGCGGTCAAGTGGCTTAGGCACTATGCTACCAGAGCTCCTAGTTGAACACTAGCAACTTGGTAACTTGTGGCACTCTGTCAGGCATCTGAACTGGAAGGAGTGGTGGTCCGGGGATGGGGTGGTTAGAGGTGAGAACAAGTTTCACCCTCTAGAGAAGTTAGCTTTCCTTTTGGCTTTGACAACCTCAATGGGAAGAGGTTCATACAACTTGGGGTTTCTTTCCCCTCCTTCAGACTGGCCTTAATTTAAGTATTCCCAGCTGCCACGAAGCCTCTGCTCACAAGGGCAGCTCCTAAAAGGAGATAAAGTCTCCCCTCTTAGGATAGAAGGAGAGCTCTTCTGTCTCTGCCGCAGGGTCTCCTTCAAAGAAGCTGAGGAGGGGCTAGGGGTTTCTCACCTCACTGCCCTTGGCCAGTGCAAAGCCACCACCCAGCAAGAACACAATATTCCAGGGCATCTTCTCGTTCACCGTCTTCCAGTTGAGGAGGGCAGGAGGGGCCTTCAGTTTCCTTGGATTTTCTACTCCCCAAACAGAGAAAAGGGCGTCAGTCACCAAGAGAGAATGGCCTTCCATAGTGGCTAAGACACTTGCCTGCTAACCAGATGGCTGGCGGTTCAAACCCACCAGCCACTCCTCGGAAGGAAGGTTGGGCAATCCTACTTCCGTAGTGATACTGCCTCGGAAACCCAAGGAGGGGTCGCTATGAGTCGGGGCCGACTCGACGGCACATAACAACAACAACAACCCCTGAGTTTGGGACCTCCCTGTGTGATTCCCTTTCAAAGCCTAATACATTCAGAAGGGGATCCTCAGTTCTTCAATATCTTGGCTTTGCCACTGAGTCCCTGTGACTTTGGCAAGTCACCCCAGCCTTTCTGGGCTCCATCTACTCCTGCCAAGTGCAGTCAAAGGTCCATGACATACCTGAAGGTAAGGGTTGCCCAGATGAACCCAGAAGCACTTTCCTGTCCCAGACCAGGTGCTTACCTGGGTCCTGGGTCAGCCCTGGGAACTTGGAGGGTATGATGAACAAAATTATGCCGATGAAGATGGCCACTGTCCCATCGGACAACATGCTGTGGGGTGGGACAGGGAGGGCAGGCTTAGTGGTAAGGGTAACTCAGGGGTGGCAGAGAGGGGACACTTCCACAAACATGCCAGCCCCTCCTGGGACATTCCCACCTCCCCAGTGATACTTTTCATTCTGCATAGGGGCCCTGCTCCCTTCCCTCTTCCACCAAGTGTGTGAACTCCTCCGTCAAGCAACTCTCACCTTTCCCCCTTAGCGTTGGGAAAAGCCAGGTTGCCCCAGCCAAGGAAAAAGCCTGGCTCTCGGGTGAACCAGAGCAGCACCAGGGTGACAAAGAGAATGGTGACAGCCTTTTCTGCAAAGGTCATGGGGCCCAGCAGTTTGTGCTCTGTCTGGATGACGTGGAAAGCTGCCTTCTCTTGCTCTCGTGCCTCTCCCCCAATGCCAAAGTTCTTCCGGAAGCTGTAGGCAGAGGGGCAGGGACAGCTCATGAGGGCCCTCTACCAAGCAGGGGAGCAAGGGGCTTCTAGTGCCTGTTATGTGAAGACTACGGAAGGCACCTTAGGTCAGTACACTAAGGACCTGGATCCATCCGAGGCTCTGGAAGAGTAGAACACTCTCAAACAGCCATTTAACAGGGGCAGGGCTGGGACAGGCTTGGGTGGAGGAAGCTGGTTTCCCCCTGCTTGGCCCTGCTCCATCTGCCCCATGGACCCCCTTTCCCTCCAAGGGTTCTCTTCTGCTGAGCCCTCCCTTGCCCAAGATGAGGAGAGAGCCTAGCAGTCCAGACCCCATACCTCCGCCTGGCCCTGAATCACAGCTCCTCTCCTCCAACACCCTTTCAGGAAATTTTTCCCTCTTCTACCTGCTTCTGGGTGTCCCCTGCCCAGTCTGAGCCCCACCCACATTGTCCTCAGAGGCACAGGGGGTTGTGGGCCACTTCCTTGTGCTGCTTACTTAACTTGTGTTGACATTTAACTTTCCACTTCGGTAAATCTCAACTCCCTTGTTGGACTATGAGTTCGTCAAGGGCAAAGACCATGTTTTACACATCCTCAAACCTCCCATGATGCCTTGCACTGTCTCTTTGACTATCACCTTGCCTTGTAATAGCCCCTAACCTCAATTCAGTCTCCTCATGCCTGCCCAAGTATTTTTTTCAAAGAATAACCCTCATGCTTAAAAACTTGTAATGGCTCTCCATTGCCTGTGGAGGAAGGGCAAATAACATAGCACTTACACCATTGCTACCCTAGCCTGCACTTATAGCAGACATCACTTATCAATCACAGCACTTGATTCCAATTGAGCCCAGAAGGGCTTCACAATGATTTTCAACTCAGAGCTCCAAAGAGCTACTACTATTTACCTAAGTTTGGAAGTAGTAATAAAACCTGTTTGCTACTGGTGGCCTCAAAGACAAGGTCCAAACTGTAACATTCTCCATAATCTGCCCCTGTCTATTTTTCTAGCTACATCTCCTGACAAGCTGTTTTGCACTTTATGTTTTAGCTATGGAGAACTAGAGTTTCTACAAACATGTCATGTTCTTTCTTGTCTCTGTGCCTTTGTACAAGCTGTTTCTGTTGCCTGGAATGCCTTTACCCCATTCTCCACCTGGCTGACTTCTAGTCCTGCAAGATTCAGCTCCAGCATCATCTCCTCCAGAGGCCTTCTGGAGTTCCATTACCCTGGGCTGAATTAAGCCCTCTCTCCTCTGTTTTCTCTTAGTACCTGGCCTTCCCTCTGCTATGAACCCAGCATGTATCATCATCACCTCCAAGGACAGGCTCTGTGCTTCATACCTTCTACCATTCTCAGTGACCAGGATGGGATCAGGCATACAGTAGGTACTCAATAAATGTGTTTGTAATTGAACACATTCAATGTGTGCTCATTAAGCACTTATTAAATGTCTGTGGAGCATTATGGGAAGGGATGCTATGGGAAAAAGTGTGGTCTAGGCATCAGGAGACATTGTTTTCAATACCAGTGCCAACAAATCTAACTGTGTACCAAAGGGCAAATCTCTTTCTACTCAAGCCTCAGTTTGCTCATCAGCTGAATGGGAAGCTACTCTTCACTGGGTTGCTGGTGACCAAAATGGGTATCTAAGTGCCCAGAGGGGCCTTGGGAAGGAGAAGTCATCCCACTGAGGTCATAATTATATCATTTTTTTATAATGCAGTGGCCTCTGGACCCTGAAAACTCCCAGAGGGAAAGGGCAGGGACTAGGGTAGCTCTCACCCATTCCACCACTTACTTGAATCCCAGGAAGAGGATCTGCAGCCACAGCCAGGCCAGTAGCAGCAGGATGATCATGGCAGGGAATGCCAAGCCAAACCAAGAGGCAAAGTTGACCACATTGGCATTTTCGGGGAAGAGCCTGAAGGGGGATGTGGGCTGTTTTGTGGCATTGTCCAGGCAGCTATCCACCCCTATCCACCCCCAGTGAGTGTGCAGGCAACCCCAGACAGCTCCCTCTCCCCACACGTACGAGTTCATCTGGCCTTGCAGCACCAAGTTGGGCGTGGTGCCGGTCAGCGTGGCTATGCCCCCGATGCTGGCCGAATAGCACACACACAGGCTCATGCCCTGGGTGAAGCGGAGCTGCTCCTGGTTCAGATTTGCCTGTGGCCGGGAAGTAGCAGGCAGGGCAGGGAGGACCTGCCCGTTATCTGGGAGCAAGGGAGAGCTCAGGTAGGGGGTAGGTACGGGGCCAGCTTCAAGGAACATGGTTGGAGCTCCATGGCCTCTTGGGACATTTTGCCCAAGACCTGGATGGAGAGGAGGACAGAGACTGCCCTCGGGTCTCATGAGCCCAACACTACTCTGAATCTCAGGGCCCCTGGGGCCCAAGCTCCTCCTTGAGAACTCAGAGAAAGAAAGAGGATGATCCAAGCCACAAGGAAGAACAGAGATTAGACCTCTGGCTGCCCACTCAGACTCTGGCTCTCTTTTTGCTAGAGGGGCCAACTATCTTGGTTAGTCCGGGACCAAGATGCAGGGCTTTTAAAATTGAGAAAGTCTCAGTCAAACTGGGATGAATTGTTCACTCTACTTCTTGCCTCCCTCTTCCTTTTTCCCTCAAATCTCCATGCTGACCACCCCTGGAAATGCACATCCTCTCAGATCCTCCCCCAGAGCTAAGGGACTTGGCATGGGGTGCAGGGTCCAGCCCCATCTTTCTCACCAAGCTTGCTCTCCTCCTTCTGGGGACTCGATTCCTGGAGCTCAAAGGTGGGGTTGTCGCTGCCCTTCTCAACGTCCTTGCTGATGGAATTTTTGTGCAGCTGCTCCAAGACGGCGTGTGCAATGGGCACCATCATGGCTGTGGTGGCTGTGTTACTGATCCACATGGACAGGAAGGCGGTAACCAGCATGAAGCCCAGGATCAGCCTAGGGATGGACGGATGGACATACTGGTGTTCTGGTATTCCTTCAGGAACTGCAGGATGCCACCCCACCACAGGCTCTCCTGCCCTGGAGTGTGGGGACTCACAGCGCAGGCCGCACTCCAATGATGAGGAGCACACGGAGAGCAATGCGCTTATGCAGATTCCAGTGCTCCACAGCAATGGCCACCAGCAGCCCCCCAATGAACAGGATATTGGTGTCCTTCAGGTACTCGATGCAGACCTAGAAGATAGGCGCATGTAGGTAAGGACACAGCTAAGAGACAAGAAGACCCTGGGGTCTCCCACTGTGCTCCTAGGCTCTTGGGATACAGAGATAGATGCACAAAGAGTCGTTGGTCCTCTGGTTTTTGGATTATCTGACATTTAGTATTGGCCAAGGAGCTCTGGTGGCATAGTGCCTAAGGCACTTGACTGCTAGCCAGAAGGCTGGCGGTTCATATCCACAAGCCACTCCTTGGAAGGAAAGTTGGGCAATCTACTTTCGAGGGAAGGGATACCGCCTCAAAAACCCAAGGAGGGGTCATTATGAGTTGGCACTGACTCAACTGCAGTGAGTTTGGTTTGGTTTTGAGTATTAGCCAGCTTTCTCTCCTCCCACCAAACTGCTTCTTTCTCCCCTTAAGAATGATTGGGAGAAAATGTAGACTGATTCTTGTTGAGGGTGTGACTCAAGTCACCACTCTTAATTTCCTTGAGGGACTATATGTGAACGTTCTGGGAAATTTTGCTCCCTCTTGCTCCCTATCTTGTATTTTGTTCATCATCATCTCACCCCTGGACTTGAGACAGCAGCCAGTTGTCTGACCTGCTGATTTGGGTTCACCAACCCCTGCAACCACGTGAAATCCTCCAGACCTACTCCTGACATGTGGATTCTGCTCCTGTTATGAGTTAAGGACTAGGAGATAGATCTTTTTATTCTGTTCCTTGGAACTAGAGCAGTGGTTCTCAGAGTGTGGTTCTCAGACTGGTGTCCTCAGCATCACCCAGAACTTGTTAAAAATGAAAATGCTCAGGCCCCACCCTAGACTTCCTGAATCAGAAACTCTGGGGTGGGGCCTAGAAACCTGTGTTTTAATGAGCCCTCTAGGTGATTCTGATGCACACCCAAATTTGAGAACCAAGGAACTAGAAGAATATAAGCTCTTTAGCTGAGTTTCAAGGCCTTTTCCTGGGTCAACAGGACTTGCCACTTCCCTGGCCTAAGCCTAATCACTCCCACTTTGAATTGACTCACAGCACCAGCCATCGTTTCTAGAATGCCCTCCCTTGGCTTCTAGCTGATATCTCCCTCAGTGCTTTCTGATCTTCCACGCATAGGCAGGGACCCCTCTTCCATGTGTCCACCCATGATGAAACTTCCTTGGTCACCAGGATCCTAGGGAAGACCCTCCTCTCCCCCCAATGAACACTTTTTCTTGAGGATGGGGAGAGGCTCACCTCAGAGGCATCCATGATGCCCATCATGGGAAACAGGATGATGGGAAAGAGGGCAGTGACGGCCAGAGGCAAAGCCTCAGTGCACCAGTAGAGGGCCATGAGGATGATGGCATAGGCACAGTAGGCTTCCTGCGGGTGGGAAGAGAGCAGCAGAGCTGTTGGAGACGATAGGCCTGCAATCCAGTGTCATTGTCACTTCCTGCCCCCCAGAGAAAACAGGCTGTTTGTAACAGTATGGTGAGAGCCCATGAAACCCACAGTCAGTGAATCCCAAGACCAAGTCCCATTTCAAAATGGAAGTGAATGAGGGACCGAGTAGTTGAACCTGTGGACTCGGGACCATAGTCCCAGAGGACATCAAGCTCAATTGGCATAACATACGACACAAATCATTGTTCCACCTTCTACTGTGGCTAGTAGCGACTGAGATCTTAAAAGTTTGCAAGCTGCCATCTAGATGCAATGATGGATCTCTCCTCATCCAGGGCCAAGAAGAATGAAGAAAACAAAAAATTCATGCAAACAATCAGTCCTAGCGACTGGTACGCCATCCAATCTGCAGCCTATACGACTATGAGAGCAGAAGAAATAGATGGTGCTTGGCTACTACTGTCAACCACTTGGAAGAGGATCTTTGTAGGAGATCCTGGATAGACAGGGGGAACAATGTGGAACAAAACTAAAAAATCATTTGGAAAAAAAAAAAAAAAAAAAAAAGAGCGGGGAACAGGTTTACTGGCCCAATGGAGCCTGGTGGAACCACTGAGACTATGGCCCCTAGCTGTCCTTCAGGTCTGGAATTGAACACACACCTGTAGCTTCCAGCCAAGCAGTAGACAGGCATACTAGTTGAGCATTTATCTGAGGTAGATACACTCCTTGGAGAGAACAAGTAAGAGAGAAAGAAGGGCTGCTCAGGCACAGGGAGACAGCTCAGGGGGTAGGAGTGCATGGAGGGATGTTCACAGGGAAGCGGTACCTATCGGGAGGAAGTGGGAGAGGAGATGTTGCATTGTGCTAAATTGTGGTCAATGTCATGAGACAAAGTGTATGTGATCTGCTGTATGGAAAGTGTATTTGCTTTGTAAATTTTCACCCAAATCACAATAAAAATAAAAATAAAAATAAAAATAAAAAATGGAAGTGAAAAACAAAGCAAGTTCTATGAAGGGTTATGGATAAATTTGGGAGTGGTGGTGGTTGAACATGGTGAACACATTTAATGCCACTGAACTGTACATGTGAAAACTGCTGAAATGGCACGTGTTTTGTTACCTATGTATTTACCAAAATAAAAACAAAAACAAAGCTAGGCTCTCACCTTGTCTTTGATTTTGAGGTGTTGCAGTGCAGTGAATTGCTTAAGATGACCCTTGTAACCATAGTCCTCCATTTTACAATGTATTGTAAATCCTAGTTTCTATACTTTTAAGGAGCTCTGGTGGCGCAGTGCCTAAGGCATCTGATTGCTAACCAGGAAGCTGATGGTTCAAACCCACCAGCCACTCCATGGAAGGAAGATGGGGCAATCTACTTCCTTAAAGATTTACTACCTCAGAAACCCAGTGGGGGTTGACTTGATGGCAGTGGGTTTGGTTTTATACCTGTTTAGGGTGGGGTGTATCTTGAGTCCTGTCTTGCTGGATGGAGGGTGTGACTCAAGTCACCACCCTTAGTTTCCTTGAGGGTCTATAAGTGAACGTTCTGGGAAAGTTTACTCTCTTTTGCTCTACATCCTGTGTTTGGCTCATCATCATCTCACCCCTGGACTTCAGACAGCAGCCAGTTGTCTGACCTGCTGATTTGGGTTCACCAGTCCCTGCAACCACCTGGAATCCTCCAGACCTACTCCTGACACATGGATTTGGGACTCTCCAGCCTCCTAGTCTCCACCACTGTGTGAGCCATTTCTTCGGCAATTCGTGAGTTCTGTGAGATGTTACAGTGAGGAGAACAGTTAACCCTAAGACAAGAGGGAGAGGACTGAGAGGAGGAGGGAGAATTGATATTAGAGACGTTAGAGTGGTACAGCAGCTTGGAAAAGCTGGGCATTTGGATATCTTTAGCCTCCACCACATAGGAACCAGAGTTCTGGTGCCTAAGTTGACTGCTAGCCAGAAGATGGCAGTTCAAACCCACCAGCCACTCCATGGAAGGAAAATGGGGCAATCTACTTCCGTCAAGATTTACCCCCTTGGGGGTTGTTATGAGTCTGGATGGACTCAATGGCAGCCCACCAGCCATTCTGCAGAAGGAAGACGGGGCAATCTACTTCCATAAAGATTTACCGCCTTGGAAACCCAAAGTGGATGGCTATGAGTTGTAATCGACTAGACGGTAGTGAGTTTGGTTTTTTGTAGTTCATAGGCACCAGCCTCGTGCTGATCCTTTCAGGCATTATAGTTCAATTACATTGGAGGGTGCTGGAGGGTGTGGGGTTGGGTATCAGGCACCACTGGCCTGAGATGAGATGGTGGCTGCCAGAACAAGGATTGGACCTTGGGCATTGCCAATCCCTGCCTGGCCCCTAGCCTACCCTGACTCTTATCATAGCCTGTAATAATGTTGTCATTTATATGACTATTAAATTAATACCCATTCACTCTGTTAGGAGGTGAGCTCCATGACTCAGTTTTTTGGCCTCTGGATCTTTGGAACTCAGAATCTAGTAGGCTTCAGAGCAAATACTTTCTGAACGAAAATGGAGAGTTTTGGGATAGGAACAGTGGATCGTCCTCTTCCTAACAACCCTGGCATGGATGCTGCATTGCACAACTCTAGGGGGCACCATTCACATTTGTAAAATAGGAGGAAGGTTTCCTCATGTCTGCAATGTGCAGGACTGAGTCATGGTCTTGAGAGTCTTTGGGTGCCAAAGACTCCCTTTCCTGCATGAGGCTCCTATGTCCAGAGACAACAACAACAACATCTGATCAACATCTGAAACAGCTGATTTAGGCCTCAGAGGGGACCTCTGGAAGGAGCAGAGGTCCAGACAGTCAGCCCAGATGCCAAGGGCCCACCCTTGCCTCTCCATGGAGGTAGGAAGGAAAGGCTGGGAAATCATTAGCCAGAAGGAGGCTTCTATGAAGGGTGGCACTACATCCAAGGTTCCCCAGGGCCAAAAGGAAGGAGCCCTATGCCGGGGTTAGTTGGACAACAGAACCAGAGAGGGTGTGGGCAGAGGGGTTCTCTCATCCCTTTCCCCACCCCAACTGCCTTGTCCCTAAATCTCTCTCCATCTGGGTTCACCTCCTGCTCTTAGTGCTCTGGTGCCTTAAGAGCTTGGTATTTTCATGTACGGAACTCTCATAACAATCATTAGTGGAGGTGTGGTGGTCCCTTTATAGATGAGCTCAGAAGGAGTAAGTGGCTTGCTCAAGGTCACAGAACTTGTGTCTGGAATGTGAACCCAGGCAAGGTGCACCACTTTAAGGGCAACCCCAGAGGGACCTTATATGGTCCCTCTGGGATTGTATAGTATACGGCCTGTACCTTTGTACACAACTTGTTGTAAAAGCCAAGTCTGTCTAATGCCAGGATAACTTTCTTTCATCTAAGCCTCCACCAATTCTCCACACCCTGGATGCCAACACATGGGCCCCAGGGGTGGGGCTACCTTGACCCTTGACCCCCACCCCCTTCCTTCCCCAGCAGGAGGCCATTTCTGCTGATGCTGGTGTTTCTCCTCACCAGATTCCTCACCTGCAATGATTGACAGCCAGTTACTCACCTCCCCAACCTTCTTCTTGGGCTAAGGGCAAGCCAGTCCTTCTGAACCCTGGCATCCCCCACCCACCCCACCCAGAACTTTCTGGCCTGAGTTAAGGAGGGGAGCTGGGGTGGCTGTCACTCTGCTGATTCAAGAAGAAATCTCTGTGGCAAGCATTGATATATGGATGGACAGATAGGCAGGGGGGAGAGTGCCCATGACTATGTATAGGGTTGGCAGATGATGTTTCTACATGTGTATGCATATATGCTGTAAGAATGTCTGGGTGTATAGTAGAGCTGACAAGGGGCAAATTTGTGGTGGCTTCTTGGCCACAGCCAGCTACACTGAAGGAGTGAGTAGTTGGATCTGTGGACTTGGGACTATCATCACAGGGGACATTAAGCTCAATTGGCATAACATACTACACAAAAATGTTGTTCTATATCCTACTTTAGTGAGTAGCAGCTGGGGTCTTAAAAGCTTGCAAGCAGCTATCTAGAGGCAATGATGGATCTCTCCTTCAGAGGAAGGAAGAATGAAGAAAACCAAAGACACATGAAAACAATTAATCCAAGGGACTAGTAGACTATGAGTCGGGGCCGACTTGATGGCAAACAACAAGAACAACAACAACAACAGTAGACCATGTGATCCTCAGCCTACTTGATCATGAGACCAGAAAAACTAGATGGTGCTCAGCTACCACTGTCAACCACTCAGAGGGGGATTGGTGCGGGAGATCCTGGATAGATTGGGAGAACAATGTGGAACAAAACTCAAAATCACTAAAAAAAAAAAAAAAAAGATCAGGTTTGCTGGTCTGATAGAGCCTGGTGAAACCCCTGAGACTATGGCCCCTTCAGGTCTGGAATTGAACTCAATCCTGTGGCTTCAAGCCAAATAATCGACAGGCACATAGGGTGAATATTTACATCAGGTAGATACACTCACTGGATCAATCAATCCTGGGAGAACAGAAGGGCAGGGTTTGCAGGGGGAGATAGCTAGGGGGTGGGGCGGGGGTGGGGCGCAAGCACGGGGAAGGGAAGGAAGCAAGGAAGAGGTAATTAATGGGTAGGAAGTGGGAAGAGAGCTGTTACATTGTGGGGCACTACAATCAATGCCATGAAACAAAATGTGTATGAACTGCTGTATAGAAAATGAATTTGCTCTGTAAACTTTAACCCACACCACAATTAAAAAAAAAACAAAATAAACTGTTAATAACCACAGCAGAGGTGCCCCAAGCAACTCCCCCTTGGAGGCATTGTGCTTTGAGTGTTTTTTTTTTTTTTTTTAAATCACGTTTAGTTGCTCTGTGAGGTAATGACTACCTCTGTCCCCATTTCACAGATGAAGAAACAAAGTCACACAAATAGTAAGTGGAACAGCCAGGCCATCTGGTTCCTGAGAC